GCTTGCTGCTCCGCCCGGTCGGCGGCCGCCGCTTCACGGGTCTCGTCGAGGGTTGTCTCGCCCATCTCGCGTCTCGCTGTCTCCACTGCCGTCACCACCCCCACCGCCGCTTCTCGTCGCTCTTGGGCGGCTTCGCGGTCGGCGGCGCGGTCTGTCTCATGCTCCGGCGCCGCTCGCTCGTATTGGGCGCGGAGGCCGGTCACAACTCCTGTCGCCGTCGCCAGCCGCCAACGCCAAAAGGCGGAGACCTCCCGCTGGCGCGATCGGTCAGCGTCCCGGATGATCACCCGTCGAAGCGCTTCCTGCCGAGCAAGGTCCTGTGAAGACAAGGGGTGAAGGCAAAGCAAACACGGGATAAAGAACAAGTGAACGAGCAAGGTACAAGAAACGAAAACAACTGGTAGGGTTGTGTGTTAGCAAAGGAAGTCTTAATTCGGGATGATATCTGGCAAGTCGAACGCATTCGCGGAACGCCAGATGCGTGTGAGGTATACAACGATCCGGTTCGGTCACCACCTTGCGTGAACACAAGCTATTTGATTGGTGGAGAATAGGCAACGAAAACATACGTGGTAGGACGCTTCAGTACCCCCTGGGGACTCACCGGCGCCTGTTGCCGAAGACGCGTCGGCCATGAGCGCCACTGACATAACAACAGGACTACTGCTCCGGCAAAAATAGCGGGCACCACGCCAACCACGGCCAGATGCTGCTGTGTGATTCGCCTGTCGCCCCAGCAAACCAGAGCCGGAGACACCTCTCGTGCTGATGGCACGCCGGTGCCGTTCGACTGCGCGGAGTCGAGCACAGTTTCGAGCGTCCCCGACTCCGCATGAAGAGGCTCGGGAAGGGGATAAAGTTCGTCTTCAGCACCGTCGTCAGAATCCGCCGGAGACACCCCTCGTGTTGATGATAGGCCGTTGCCGTTCGACTGCGCGGAGTCGAACACAGTTTCGAGCGTACCCGACTCCGCATGAAGAGGCTCGGGGAGGGGATGAAGTTCGTCTTCAGCACCGTCGTCAGAATCCGCCGGAGACACCTCTCGTGCTGATGATAGGCCGTTGCCGTTCGACTGCGCGGAGTCGAGCACAGTTTCGAGCGTCCCCGACTCCGCATGGAGAGGCTCGGGAAGGGGATAAAGTTCGTCTTCAGCACCGTCGTCAGAATCCGCCGGAGACACCTCTCGTGCTGATGATTGGCCGTTGCCGTTCGACTGCGCGGAGTCGAACACAGTTTCGAGCGTCACCGACTCCGCATGGAGAGGCTCGGGAAGGGGATAAAGTTCGTCTTCAGCACCGTCGTCAGAATCCGCCGGAGACACCTCTCGTGCTGATGATAGGCCGTTGCCGTTCGACTGCGCGGAGTCGAGCACAGTTTCGAGCGTCACCGACTCCGCATGAAGAGGCTCGGGGAGGGGATAAAGTTCGTCTCCAGCACCGTCGTCAGAATCGCCCACCGCTATGTGCGAGGGTGGGCCTTCCGGCACCCAAGCCGATGTTCCCATGGTATCGGACACGACAGCGCGTTCTGGCTTCCCACCCGGCGTCTCGCTGCCAGGATCGCTCGTGCCGTACACGGTCCCCCTGAATTGCAGGGGCTCGAAGAGCACCACCTCACGTCCCTGGTGAGGTGGAGTCGAGCAATGAAGCGATAGTCGTGAACCCAACTGTTGTGAGATAAGGACAGATCGTTGGTTCTCAAGACATGGAGTTGCCGGAAACTACTCATGCTCTTCCACGCCAAAAAGGCTCCCTCCACCGCTTTCCACAAACAACCTACAGTGCTCCGTGGGGCGCAAACCGTGTGGCAAGCGGATATTTACGGACCGGTTCACGGTATATTTGCTCATGTATCGTCACTGCTTCCACGGTCATGACTGCAATCGGATGATGTATCAGTTGAAAGCGGTGGAGCGAGGAAAACGAAATGCCCATGTATTGATCGCGTCCGTGCAGAAATAAGGTGCACGAAACACCTGAGATCACTTCGGTCACATGGACAGACCTCACGACTAGTTCGGCAAATCTCCTAAACCTCTTGGACGCATCAGGGCCTCCATCGAAACGCCGTTTCTTCCAACGAGGCGCTTCCTCGCCTTACCCGCGACCCCTCCTCAGTGGCAACACCCCCCGTTTTCTGACGTGACAACATGTACAACTATGCGTGTAAAATCTAGATACCATGACGACGGAAGTAGTGGCGGGCTCCTGGGCGGCCTCTTTGACGTCCTCCGCGTTTCGCAGAAGAAACGGAAGCCCTGCGGACACCAGCTGTGCACCGTGAAGGGCCACGCGGGCCGTCACATGCAGTCCAGCCACAGCTGCCGAAACTCCAGCCACAGAACCCACCGCAGCTGTCGCGAAAAGGGCCACCTTGGCGGAGGTTTGCAGAACCTGCCAGTGGTTTGCATGGCGGCGGCGGCGGTGGCGACCAACAAAAGGGGAGGGGGAGGAAACGTCAACGAAAATTAATGTAGCATCAGTCCGCAGAGCAGCGCGCCAGTTCGAACCTCTTGAGCCTGGATGCGTGTTCGTGGCGCTCTTCTGTAACCTCCATTCGGGGCACATGGATATACATCAGTCATGTTGGTCGCCAGGAGACCCAACTTTGAACTGCTGTCGATCGGTTCGAAGGCTGAGATGTGCTTGGGAGAGAGGGCACTCGACAAGACAAATATATCTAGAAATCACGCCCGGGAGCCACATCTACCACGGGGGAGGGGGCTGTCGAGAGTAAAACATGAAGGCCTCAGGGGACATGCTCTCGTGAGCGAGGGGGGGTGGTGTACTCATAGTAGTGCATGCCGCAGTCGTTAGACATTTGACCTCGCATCCCTACAAAGCCGGGGCGGAGCACACCGGGGTCTCACCGGACCAGGCTCTCACATCACCAAGCGCGAAGCGCCGTGAAGTGTTCGGCGAGTCGCATGAAGGATGCGCTGCATACTGCTAAGGGTGTTCGGCATCTCGTGCTTACTTCCATGCGCACGGATGACAGCTGCGTATGACCTAATATATTTTCTGGTACTTTTCTGGTGCTTTCCCTTCAGAGGCAGTTGTAAGCAGGGTGTAGCTGCCTCGAGGGCGTTTGACCAATTACATGCAACGCGGTGCGCTCCTCCCAGTTGCGCGGAGTGAGGGTTCGCGACCCCGCACAAGACAACCTACTCGACCACCATTATCGTTGCTGCAATAAAAAAAAACAAAAGGCAAAAAACAGCCGTAACTTGGTCAACGAGCTCACGAAGCGATCGGGTTGATGTACAATTTCGTTGCCAAGCGACGGAAACCCAACCCCGATGCGGGGGCAGGGGAATTCTGGGGGGCGTTCTCGTGAGCGAGAGAGGGGTAAACACTGTTGCCTACTTCGCCTATCCCAGTGGAATCCTAACCACCTCCTGTCTTTTCGCCTAACGACCACAGCAACCTCGACTATGCACGAATTCATTCTGTCGACAGCTCCGTGTTTCCAGCAATAACAACAAGTCCGTCACCAACAACAGCGAGCCTGCACGTCACGAAATTGTCGAGTTGTCCATGTATGCCGCGCCTGTCTCCTGACACAACATAGTAGTACACGACGAAGGTACGCACATCCCCCCGTCTTGCATCATCTCTAGTATTTCAGCGAGGGGGCTACACCTTGATGCGTTAAAACCCGAAGGCCGACCCATGTCGGTATCCACACCTTCGGCGAATTGATTTTTGGAGGAGCGGGGGGGAATAATCGATATCTCGCCCCCCCCCCGCAAGTCATACGCAGCTATCACCCCCACGCAAGGAAACAAGCACAAAATGCCGAGCACCCTTAGCAGAATGCAGCCCACCCTTCATGCGACTCGCCAAATACCTCACGGCGCTTCGCGCTTGGTGATGTGGGAGGCTGGTCCGGTGAGAACCCGGCGTGCTCCATCCCGGCTTTGTAGGGTTGCGAAGTCAATGGTCTAAGGACTACGGCATGCACTACCATGAGTACACCCCCCTCGCCCCCAGTGTTTGCCATTGGGGTTGGGTTTTCGTCTCTTGGCATCGACGTTGTAAAACAAGCCAATTCACTTCGTGAACTCGGCAACCAGGTTGCCATGTTTTTTTCCCTCTGTTTTTTGTTTTGGCGGTTACCATAATGGTGGTTGCATCGATCATGTTGTACGGGGTGGAGAACCCTCACTCCGCGCATGGGGGATGATCGCACCACGTTGTGTTAAAATGGTCAAGCACCCTCGAGGCAGTTACACAGTGTTTATAGCTGTCTCTGGAAGTGAAAGCACCAGAAATGTATTTAGTCATACGCAGCTTTCATCCT